GGAGTTTGAGATCGCTGTGAGCTAGGCTGATGCCACGGCACTCTAGCCCAGGCAACAGAGCAAGACCCTGTCTCTAAAAAAACCAAACCAAAACAAAAAAAAAAAAACATTGGGTAAGGTTCATTAGCACCTATGAAATGCACAGGGTTGGACGTCCATCTCTGGAATACATGTAAATGTTTTATGTCTTCTAGATCTTCATTGTTCTTATTCTGATTTCTGCTGGCCTTGCCATTGGTCACGCTTACTGGGAAGCACAAGTTGGCAATTACTCTTGGTACCTCTATGATGGACAGGATGCTACGCCCTCATACCGTGGCTTCCTCAACTTCTGGGGCTACATCATCGTCCTTAACACCATGGTGCCCATCTCTCTGTATGTCAGGTAAGACGGTCCTCTTTGTGGCCTTTTGCTTTAAGGGAAGAATGTAGTTCCTTTTGCTCATGTAGCATCTTCATTTCCAGTGATAATTGTTTCAAAGGTCGTAAGGAATAAGTTAGAAAATAACTTTCCTTTTAGAATTGAGGGTAGTAGAGGAAAAGGAAATTAACATTTCAGTATCTACTCTGTGCCAGGCACCTACTGTCTCATCTTCTACGAGATAAGGCTAAAGAAGTTCAAAGATCGAGTGCTACTTCTATCGCCATTCACTTGCTAAGAGTCCTTCTCGGTGGGTTCTAGAGCCCAGGCTTCAAAAAGAGCCTGAAAGGAAGCGAAGACTTAGAATGTCATGGAAAAACTGAGTTTCCTTCTCAGGATCCTTCCTAACCTCTTATCTGCATCTTCCTTATTGCCACCTGCCGCACCGCTGTGGAAACCTCACTGTGCTTCTGGCCACTACCTCCACGCGGGAAGGAAATGCCCTCCCCTTCAGTGCTCGCTCAGAATGCTCTGTCTCTCTTCTCAATCTCAGTCATCCCAGCAGCAGAGACGGGCCATATTCCTGACTAGTGGTAATCGCCTCGTTTGGTGATATTTCTTCCTTTTTTACTTTTTCTTTCTTTGCTCTCAAAGTTTACTGTCACTGGCCGGTTGGATTTTAGACCTTTGGTAGGGGAGGCATCATGCCTTGAAATATACCCAGCAGCCAGAGGCTGTTTCAGTTCCAATAAGGAATGGCCCAAAGGCACATGGGATCACATACACACCTGTAATTAGAGGCATCTATTTAATTTCATTACATGTGCATTTGTTTTTATTATATGTGCATTTGTTTTATGTTTAATTTTATTACTGTTTGTTCTTTTAACATGAAGGCAAGCCCTAGAGCAGCCATCTGTTCTGAAG